TAAGTTTGAAAAACATAAATGACAAGTCTCCTTGTCGGCAACTTTCTCAAGTCTACCTCTCATATCATTCAAGCTGACGTGCTTATCATGGCTTATCTCTAAGTCCATGGCACTTTAACACTTTCAAAGTGATCAACTCGTCAAGAAGTATGCTTGGTTTTATAAAACTTGAATGAAATAGTGGAACATTGTTATTGCGAAACAATGTCCACTTTCATTCGGTTTAACATTTCACCCTTTACCCTACACCCGAGCTAATGGAATTAGCTACTCATTACGGAAAGTAAATGACATAAATAAATAACGTAAAATAAAGACATGAATGTAAATAGCTGAAAGTAAATGACAGAAAGTAAAAGACGGAAAGTAAATACGGAAAGTAAATGACAATAAAGAAATAAATAAAAGACAAAATATTAAATAAAGACTTAAAAGCTTGTAAATACTAATAATAAGATGAGAGAGTTTTGGGAGTACAACTTGGAACAAAAATCGTCCAGGAGGTGTGTGGAAAAGAGAGGACAAAGGCCTTCTTTTATACCCACCAAATGAAGAAAAGACAAAAATAAAAGGAAGTACAAAGTACAAGTGAGAAGACTAGAAAAAGGAGATATCATCTCCATCAAAACAAGTCAACCAAAAAATCTTCTCCACATCATTTCACCAGCTGTTAAGGGTCCAAAACGAGGGCTTCTTCAGCTCAGACCTCCATCCAAGACAATGGCTTAACCAATAAGCACTTCTTCAAAAAGCCAAAATGCAGTCGGGCAATGCTGTTGGAATGCTGCAGCATTACAGTGCAGTGTTATGAGTCAAAAGATGTCATCTATTCCAAATTGTTGTAAAAACAAATTCATCATCACATTTAGCTCCAAACATAACAAATGAAAAATAAGGAAGTAAAAATGACTCAAGGTTGGGATAAACTATGAAAATCTACCTATTAAACATAAGAAATAGGTACTTTAAGCATGTAATAAACCATGTTTATCAAAAAGCTTTAGAGCTTAATGCTACAATGCTTTCAAAACAAATATCAGATTTTGAACAAATTATCATCTTGGAACGAGCGAAGTTTGAAACTGAAAAGAAAGAGTATGAAGAAGAATGTCAAATGAAGCATTTAGAGATGTTTGACAGCATTGCTCAAAAGCATAAAACTTTAAATAAAGAAAATAAAGTTTTTGCTTTAGAAAAGAAGAATAATGTTAAAAAGAATGTTGCAATTGCTAAGGAGCTAACTGAGAAGAAGAAATGGCTTGACATTGCTTCAGAGAATGAGAAGAGAAATTCAGAAAAAAAGAGAAAAGAATTTGAGAAAGGAAGAAAGGATTTTGAGAAAAAGAGAAGAGAATTAGAAGGTAAGTTCTTGGAAACTTCAAAGAAATTGTGTGATTTAAAGACAGAACTTGAAGCTGAAATGAACATGAGAACTGAACTTAAGAAGAAATATGATTTAGTTACCGATAAGAAAGACCAGTTACTTAAGAAAATAAAAGAATTTTCTAAATCTAGTGTTGAAAGCTCAACTAGTTCTCAATCTAAGTGTAAAACCTACTTTTATGACTGTTCCAGTGTTAAATTCAACAGTTATTCTAGCAGTTCTAAATAACTGTTTCTTAGAACAAGTCTCGTAGTTCTAATCAGTTTTACAAAGGATATGTCATTGAATCACCCAATAATTTTTCAAAAGTTAAACAAATTTGGGTCAATAAAGCTGATTTTGTTGTTCTCGTAAATCTGTTGTTACTAACACTATTCTTCCTTGCACTGTGAGATCTACTAATCAATTGATCAGTCTTAGCAAGAGAAGAATTCGGTGCTCAACTTGCGAAACTAATGACTTTGTCAACAAAAAGAATTTCAACAGATGGTATGGGAACAACGGCTATAAGAACAGCTAGAATACATATAACAGGTATGATAATGGCTAGTATGGTTCTTACTACATATCTAATCTACCTGTTAAGAGTGCCAAAAAGAATTTATCTAATAGAAACATATGGTATGGCAGTTACAACATCCCTCAGGCTAATACTAACAAAGTAGGACCCATATTTGTTTAGGTACCAAAGTCTACTTAATCTGTTTTGCAGGTGTGTCATATGTTGTGCTTACAAGAAATATCATTTATATGATATACTTATGCAAGGGGAGTGTGTAATTTGTCGAAAAATAGTTTCTGAACATCCAGTTCAGGACCTGCTCTTCAAATTTTGAGTTGAAATGTTTTTCATATTCTGAATAAAGTTTATATTTGTTTGGATTTTGAGCTGATAAAGAAAATAATGGAATCTGTTTTCTAGGGGGAGTACTGAAAGAATTATTGAAAATGTTTTTGGAATTTGAATTGATTTTAAAAACGAGTAATATTTCTGATCAGGTATTTCTTTGAGATTTTACTTGTGTAATTTCTCTTCATTCATATTTCCAATACATGTTTCAGTTTCTTCAAACTGTTATTATTTATGTCTCTTAAATGAAAATCATTTTCGGTGATAATACACTCGTTTGTATTCAAAGTTGTTTTGTGAGCTTATCTAAAAAATATTTCTTTGATTGATACATAATTCTTTATTCTTGATTGTCTAAATCTGTAAACTTGTTCCTACAGATCTTCATTCATTTCTCTCAACTATTTTGAATAATTTGTTTTGTACAACACTCCTGAATAATTGTTCATGAACTTAATTGCTACATTTTTCTTGATCAATTTTCATCTGATCAATTGTGCATAAATGTAATAATATTTTTGATCAATCATTTATGATCAAATAAGCTTACATTGTCATTTAGGAGGGACTGAGAGCTTCACTGAAATACCTCTATGGATTGTCAGAACCGATAGCCCTACCCAAGAGGACATCCATATTCGAATGAGCTTAAATGCAAAACGGTTTTGTGTGCACAACTTAAAATGAAAATGAGAGGTAGTTGTTGTGAGTTAAAAGAATTGATGAGAGTTGTGTTAGGATTAAAAGATTAAAAGAATTATGTTCTATCCTATATAATCCGGGCAAACCACAAAAGCTATTACTTCTCAATTCTTTGGAAACTAATATTGAAAAAGGCAAAGCCCAAGCTAACTCTTGTCACAACCCCACCAGCTACTCATTTATCTCTTAATAAACAAGTGTTTCAATAACTTGGGGCACACAGCTCATAATCTATCAATTTCTCATTTGGAGAAAATTGATATTGAAAAAGAAGGGTATATGTCCCCCTTCAAGTCTTGTTAATCATAATTTGAGTCTGATAAATTTGTGTAGTCCACACTGTTTATCATTTTGATCCTAATTCAAAGCATTAGTTGCTTTATCTTTTCTCACTACACAAATTTTACAAAACATTTGTTGTTTTGTTATAACATTCATAGATATGCTTTTTCAAAGCTAGCAATGATTGAATGGAAGTCCTGGTGAGATGAACCTTAAAAAGTCTCATATATGAAGTACATTCGTTGTACTGAATATATATGTTATATTCACAGACCAATCTTGTATAAGATTGAAAACAAATTCATAAGTTGAATTTGGTTATTTCTCTCATCTTCATAATCTGAAAATATTATATAAGCGAATTTGAAAAGATTTGCTTACCATTTTTATGAATTGATCTCAAGGAAAACACTTCAAGACCTGGAAATGGACATTTTTGGCATGTACATAGTTTTCATAAAGCAACTTGAAACTCACATTGCTAGATGAGGTTAAACCGAGTTTCCAAACCTAAGATTTAACTTCCTAAAATGTGGATTTGAGATCTATAAACAAGTCTCTCTAAAGAAACTTCTCAAGATCATCCAACCAAGATAAAGAGACACGAGAAACTTAATACAAACTTCAAATCCACCAAAAACCTCAAACATAGATCTTAAGATACTCAAGAAGCTTACCTCTTGAAACTTGAAGAGTCCAAGCTAAATCCTTATATGGAGCTTCCCATCCTCAAACCATACTTGAAGAACTCCAACATCAGTCTCAAAGCTCTAAAAATTGCCAAAACCATGGAGGAAATTAAGAAGATCAAAAGTGAGCAAAACCCTAGAAAAATTGGCCCTTAAAAATGCTTGGAACCCTTCACCGACCTTGAAGTCGTGACCAGGTCTGAAACTTAAGTCGAAGAGTCCTAATAAGTTATGATTAATACGAGGTTCTACATTTTGAGCTTGTGTCTCTGTCTTTGAGCCACTGATTGATCCCGTATAGCCCGTACCATGTTATGTGGTCCATGCCGCTCGAGCCACATTTGGTGTCGCGACTGTACCATGCTCTAATTGTGCCTTGACCGTTTTGTTATCAAGTGCCTTAGGCAGCTTTCATGCAATTTTGGTTGCACGATAAGTCGCACAAACCACCAAAATAACCCATATTTCACAAAAAGTAACTTCCTTTTTCCTCCCAAAACATATCAGGGTGAAACTCTCAACTAAGAATGATTGTTCGGCAACCGAATCAACACAATAAATCATAATAAGTAAAGGACAAGTTGGATGGTCGTAAGAGGAAGGGACCAAATCCAATAGAAATTGCACATTTGGAGATCTATTTATGTAATAGAAGAAGATAAATAACCAAATTCGAAACAATTAATAATGTCAGGGACCAAATTTGTAACAATTAACAAACATTATGGACCAAATCCGTAAAAATTTGGGGAAGAATACGGATCGGAGTTTTTGCAATTCCAGCAAATGTGTGACGTGGCAAATATCTGGTGTCAGCGAGGTCATCTCGAAGTTATCGAAACCACTGATCTTCATCCGTTCTGAATCACAGAGAAAACCCTACCTTTCGTATTTTCTTAATCCTTTTTTATTGAATCGGTAACTCCTGGGGAGGAGCTTCAAATTGGCAAGAGATATTCATGGAGAGAATCGTTGGAGATAAGTACAAGCTAGGCCGCAAAATTGGAAGCGGATCATTCGGTGAAATTTTTCTCGGTCTCTCCCTTTTCCATCTCAAATCTTAGTCTAGAAAAGTAGCGTTACTGTATGTTCATATAATGTGCTCGTTTCTTAGCTCTTTAAATTTTTGATATTGCAGCTACTCATGTAGATACACATGAAATCGTTGCTGTAAAAATGGTAACATTCTTTTCAATGGGTGTGTGTGTTCTGATTGTTGAGTTATTAGTATATGCTTTCTCGATTTATTGCGAGTTATCTCTCTAGTTTTCTCTCTAGTTTTCTCATTGTATTAAGTGCCAAGTGGTTTTGGTGAATCAAGTAGAAAGAAATGGGTTTAGGTACTGGTAGAATGCTAGGAAGCATGGAGAATTACATACGTCTGATTTTTCAAATTGATATGGATCTATTTTGTTTGATAGAAAAGAAGCTCAATGTATAGAAATGATTTGTCACGCACCAAACTACGTGTGGTTAGAGTAGGATACATAGAGCGGTTTCATGGTTGATGTTGATTTGGGCACCCCCTTTCATCATGTGTCATTACAATTGGTATTATAGCCTTGTGATCCTTGGACTACTGATAAAACAGAAAAGCCTACCTAAGTTCTGGAACTGAATTTTCATTTGTATATTTGTGACAAAAAGGTCAAAAGACAACAGAACACTTCTGTCGAGTATTGCTAATGTAAAAGCCACAATGCACGTATTCTATATGGTAGCATGGTTCCTTGTCATGCATGAACTATGCATTTGCACAGTCTAACATCATGTTGGACGTTATAACTTTATAATTTATTTGGTTCGCTTTGTCAATTGTCATCTGTTAATCGTCTGATAGGATATATATGTGCTCCATTATAGCAGAGATGCCTTTTTTGATTTGGATTTATATCAATAAGTCAATGCACTTGATTGCTTGCTAATATTTTTTTTTCCGCACTTTGTAGAAATATTAGATAATCAGCATTTCGCTTATGATCAATCAATTTCATTGCTATGTTTGATAGGAGAACCGGCAGACTAAGCACCCGCAATTGCTTTATGAGGCCAAGCTATATAATTACCTCCAGGGAATAGGCAAGTTTATGTAATATTTTATTTCTTTTCATTTGCTGAAGCATGAATACTTGTATGCAAAACAATTCTCTAATTTTATTGGTTATAACTTCTGTATGTTAGTTACTGTGGTATTCAAGTTTGTTAGTTTTTTACTCTACAGTTGGTGTTGCTGGCATCCATTGGTCTGGGGTTGATATACAGGACAATGTGCTTGTACTTGACCTTCTAGGGCCTAGTCTTGAGGATCTATTCGTGTATTGCGGAAGGAAGTTCTCATTGAAGACAGTTCTAATGTTAGCTGATCAAATGGTAATTCCCTTTCAGATGCACTGGTTATAATGCCTGCAACCATAAAATTGGTGAGAAAATGGTTGGTATCATTGGTTTAGTTTGTAGGTGGCATGGTGTTGTAATGTTTTTTGTGTTGCACACTTGCACTTGTTAGAATTCTTAATGAGATTCCACATCAAAGATTTTTCGAGGTATGCTGTAAGACCACTGGTGGTATTATAGTTTATCTTGTAGTGCATCAGAGATTTGCATCCTATCTGTTGCTGTCATCGTTTACTAAACCACTCATATTTTTGTAATTCTCAAATTAGTACTAAACTACTAATTTCTTGTTCTATTTTTTCACAGCTTACAAGAATAGAACTAATGCATGCTAAAGGATTTCTTCATAGAGATTTGAAGCCAGATAATTTTCTAATGGGTCTAGGCAGGAAAGCAAATCAGGTAAACTGACCATTATATATCCTAATACAACCTTATGTAAGTGGTGCTTCTTTGGATTTTCTAAATCTAAGAGTAAATTTTTATTTCATGTTAGAGTGAATAGGCTCTCTAACCTTTGTACTTGTAGTATCATTGCAAACTAGTCGTTCTACTTGCAAATAAAAAAGAACGCAAAATTATGCTAGCCTGGACAGTTTCTGATGGTTAGTGTGCAACAAAACTACAAATATGTGGTTAGAAGTGCCCACCTCTTGCATACTTTAGAGTCTTCTTTACCTTTCAGCAAGTTCAATGGTTAGTTTGCCAAGAAACTACAAGTATGATTATTTGAAAGTTCAACTCTTTTTATTTATTACTAACGATTCATATTTATGATGTATCCATATAGACTATCTCTACTGATATCGCCAATTATTATTTTTATCAGGTCTATGTTATTGATTTCGGACTTGCTAAAAGATATCGTGATCCCACTACAAGTTGCCACATTCCTTACAAGTAGGTTTAGTTTCCAAATTTAGTATTGTTATCCTCCCTACTCTTCTTTTAACACTGAGAAGTCATCATATTGATGGTAAAATTACTATACATATGATCAAATTTTAGGACCTAAATTGTAGTTGTCTATCATACATCTTTATGACATGGGATTTGTTATATGAAATTATGCCCGCAAGGTGCTACTCACTGTTTGTCATGCGCTGTTTTTCAGATTTATGCTCTTTTGATCCTAGAACTTCATCAATATTTTATTTTGGTTGTTTCTTTTTATTTCTTAATGATACCTGCAAGGTTGATCTCGTGAATTCATTGCCTAGAGGCTAGAAGTTCATTGAAACCTTTGCTTTGTAAAGCAAATCAACTTTGATTTTTGAATCTTGAGGAATCTGCATCATTTCTGCATATATTGTCACAAATGCTCCTCCTTATGTGTACCAGGCACGCATCAAAAAATAATTATGATTTTATATTCCTCAAAATCGTGTCATGTAGTAAGTGAGCCATATGCTTATTGGCCAACAAACGCTCAAGAAATAACATCATGTCATTTATGTTGTTTGGTGGTATCCCACCTTACCCTTCTTTTTCTTCTTTCTTTTAGCTGCCTTTCTGAGCCTCCATTTGGTGCTAAGCTGACCATTCGTTTTTATTATCTATATACAGAGCGAACAAAAACTTGACAGGGACTGCACGCTATGCTAGCTGTAATACTCACTTGGGAATTGGTATGCAGTCATCGCTGCATTATGTATTCTTGCATTTTGATATTTCATATTTGCATCTCTGATATAACAATCTTAAATCCAGAACAAAGCCGGCGTGATGACTTGGAGTCTCTTGGCTATGTTTTCTTGTACTTTTTGAGAGGGAGGTATGTGCTGGAAAATCAATTGGTGCAAGTACATTTGATTTTTGGTAGCTATAGAATATCTGCCCTGCAAATTGATCGGTTTTATGATTTGGTGCAATTAAACTTAGTTCTGGGAATTGTGATTTTCTTTTAGCAAAAATATTTATTCTCTCTCTCTCTCTCAACTTTAGAAAGATTTATAAATATGATATTGGTTCAGTCTACCAATGTTGCCCCATCTAGAAAAAGAATTAACTTGTTGGGTCTTGTCTGCAGTCTTCCATGGCAGGGTCTCAAAGGTGCAACGAAGAAGCAAAAATATGACAAAATACGTGAAAAGAAGGTATCAACTCCCATTGAGGTATGTTGTTTTGATGTGTGTTATTAGTGACCTTATTCTGCAAGCATGGTTGCCTGAACGGAATTTTACAGCCCTTCTTTTTTTAAACTATGCACATGTGCCTGTACATCAGTGTTGAATCTTAGAAATATGAGTTTAATCATCAATGATATATCTTTTTGTGAAACAATATGCTATAAATCTCTTCTTATAGGGATAGTTAGCTACTTTTACAGTAACAGTCATATTTATGTTGTTGTTGTGGAGTATCATATTTTATAAATGAAATCATGTTTCAAACTCTTTTGACAGGTTTTATGCAAGTTTCATCATGGGGAGTTTGCTTCTTACTTCCAATACTGCCGTTCTTTGACATTTGAGCAACGGCCTGATTATGGATTCTTGAAGCGCCTTTTTCGTGACTTGTTTATGCGGGAAGGTACATAGATTGTTCACCAAATACTCGAGTCTTAAATTATGTGTTTGTAGAAGAGGGTTGGGTTGAAAAAAGTGCGACCCTTCGTATATACTCCTGTTCTTTAAAACTTAGATTGTGACATCAGATCCTTGTCAAACACAAGTTATATCAATTTACTAAGTTAACACCAACATTAAACCGACTATGCTATAAGGATTGAAATAGTTGTTACATGTATCTTCAAACTTTTTAGAAACTACAGCAGATTTGAAGTTGAAATGTGCCAAAGTGACTAGTAGGGTTAAACACATAGGTTTTTCTTTTTATGGAACAGAGGAAGGAGCAGTGTTATAGTTTGTACTATGCCATTCAACGGTCCTACTCTGAAATACCCAACTTATTTGGCATATTAATCTTTTTCCGGTAGTAGTCTCTCTACGAAATGTAGATTTTGAGTTTCATCAAACTGGAAGCTAACCTCTCCTGTGCCATTGATATCGGACTGTAATGTCACACCATCCCTGCCCTAAATAATCTACAGTGATGGTGGCAATTGATATCGTACTGCAATGTCACACATCTCTACTCTAAACATACAATCTTTCCTTTTTTTGGGTGAGAATCATGTTGCAAAGGCCTGCCATGTATTTACTGGAGCTTGAAAGAGGTTTATGCCTGCTTTATCAGGCTGTGGTTACTTCGCTACTCTATTCTAGAGCTAAAAGGGTTAGCATGTGCTATTGTGTTGTAAAGAGTGTACCCATCCAGGATTGAGAAAGGAGAAGCTTATAAGAGAGAACATTTCAAGAAAAAAGAGAAGCTATTAAAGAAGAGGGAGCCTCGCTTGTCCATGATTTTTGTAGTTTGAATATTTAATGTCACTTATGAAATTTCAACGTGGTAGGTACTTGTTAACCTAGCATGGACAAAGTCCATATGTGATACCAACTATGGCTAGCCTTGAGTACGTAAGTCGACTATGAGTGCAAAAAGCAGGACTAGCGCTTATGGACCAAGACAGTGATACGTCACAATGTTGATGCATGCTACTCAATCCAACTACTTGATCACATAATTGTTTTTGAAATATAAGATCGAAAGGTTAACGTCCTTCATCTTTTAGTGTTGAGTTTTTGGTGATATGTATTCCTACCTCTGTTTCAATTTCTGGGCAAACCTGTGATTGGTTTTAAAGATGGTTTGGTGTGGATCTGGTCTTTATATTCTTCACTCGATTCTGCTTCACTTTCTTAGGTTTTCTTGGATATCCAAGATTTTAGGGATTACTTTCAGATGACCATAGTTTGTGTGAATACCTTGTATAGATGTTAATACCCTGTTAACTCTTGTAATCTTACATCTGATGCTTAGTGGATCATCTATTTCTACCCCTGTAGGCTGTAAGGCAATTCAAAATGGAGTGCTTGCAAGTTGATAGATTTATTAGAGCCCAGTCTTTCTACAACTAGCTTGTTTGTCTTTAGTGATGCTGTGATTAATGTGATGTTCTACTTATTTCAGGATATGATTTTGATTATGTGTTTGATTGGACAATCTTAAAGCACCAACAATCGGAAAAGACCAAGCCACAACATCATTCATCTGTTAGTATTTGATTAACCTTGGCTGTTTACGATTCTTTATAGAAATTACATGCATGGATGAGTGTTCTTTGGGGTGCATGTACTTATTCTTTATTCATTTAGACATCTTCTTTGTACTCACTAATGGTTTGGAAATGATACCAGAGTCGACCAGTTCCTGGAATGGTCAATAGAGAAATGGCGGTACATTCAAATAAGCGTCAAGGTACTTTATCTTGAGAAATTTTACTAGGATGTTTAATTTTTTCTAGAAGTTCTGCATCAAAAGTTGTGTTATGCTTTTTGGTGTACACAAGGGAGATAGGGAACAGGTAGTTTGTATATATATATATATATATCTGTCTGGATTCGGTACAGTGCTCAGAGAGATGTAAGCCTGTAAGGTAGCTCATCCTGTTGTTATTGATCTTGCAAATATGAGATAAACCTTCAGATACTTCTCTGAATACCTGGAAAGTTGACTGTTCATATGACCACTATCTATCTACTGATATTCTGCACATAGTATGATAGAAAGTTTGTTCCCCAACCCCCCAGCCTCACCAAAAAAAAGAAGATAACAAATTTGTGAAGTTAGAATTATTTGCATGACTTCCTTAGCATAACTGTACCAAGTTTTCATACGAAAGCCATAGGTGACGGAACATGAGAAATGTCTGTTACATACTGCTTTCTGATAGAAACAGAAAAATTGAGAGGACAAGCTGAATGATTAAAATAGGAAAATGAGCCGAAGCTCTACAAGAACAAGGAAAATTAACCAGAGTCTGGGACTCCTCTCCAGAGACTTCTCTCCTAACAGAATAGACAACAAAATAACAGAATGATTCTTATTTCCTTTCCTCCACTACTTTTATCTCTCTCTAACGACCCTCCTCCTTCTTCTCTCTCCTCGTGTACACTTTCCATATTATGGGCTTTTTACCCAACTGAGAGACTATGGGCTCATGGGCTTCAACATCTGGATTCCCAACAATACCGTCTTCTGGAACTGCAGCCTTGTCCTCAAGGCTGAATTCAGGAAATTGGCTCCGCAACACATCCTCATCCACCCAAGTAACATCATCAACGTTCTTCCCTCTCCATTTCACTAAACRCTGTCGGATCTGCTGCCCAGCCACTGTGATGTCTCTTGCAGCTATCAATTCCTCCGGTTCATCCAAAGTGTCCTCACCAACATCCAACCCCTCTGGTAGTGTGTTGGCAACATGATAATCTCCCACAGCCTTCTTTAATTGGGAGATATGAATTACTGGATGAACTTTCGTTGATGCTGGAAACTGAAGTTTATAGGACACCCTTCCTACCCTCGAAACAATGGGAAAAGGGCCATAATAGCGTGGGGCTAATTTTTGATTAGTTCGTCTTGTTACAGTCTGCTGGCGATAAGGACGAAGCTTGAGAAACACCCACTCACCCACCTTGAATTTTTCATCTTTCCGTTTCTGATCAGCATACTTTTTCATCTGCTGCTGTGCACGTAACAAATGATGCTTAAGTTGAACTAGAGCTTCATCTCGATCAACTAAGTCAGCAGCCACTTGATCTACTCGTGTTTCCCCTTGCGTATATCGGACTAGCAGCGGCGGTTTTCGTCCATATACTATCTGAAAAGGAGTGATCCCCGTAGAGCCATGAAATGTGGTATTGTACCACAATTCCGCCCATGCAACCCATTGAGACCAACCTTTAGGTTGTTCCGATGCAAAGCATCGTAAATAAGTTTCCAGACATCTATTCACTACTTCTGTCTGACCATCCGTTTCTGGATGATACGAAGAACTCATTTTTAACATTGTTCCTTGCAAACGAAAAAGCTCCTGCCATAATAAACTAATAAATACTGGGTCACGATCACTTACAATTGATCGTGGCATGCCATGTAAACGAACACTTCCTTAGCAAAAATCTCAGCTATCTTTCTTGCAGTATATGGATGCTTTAAGAGTATGAAGTGTGCGTATTTAGATAGTCTGTCCACTACCACAAACATAGCTTCAAACCCTCCGGATTTTGGAAGACCCGTTATAAAATCCATTGAAATGTCGTCCCAAATTAACTCCGGAACAGGGAGTGGCTGCAACAAACCCATAGGAGACGACGCCATATACTTCTGCCGTTGACAAATGTCACACCGCTTCACAAAGTCTTGGATCACACCCTTCATCCCTATCCAATACACATTCGCTGCGATACGCTTATAGGTGCGAAGAAAACCCGAATGACCACCAACAAGAGACGAATGAAATTCTGTAAGAAGGTCTGGTATTACCATAGACTTAGCAGCCAATACCAACCTGCCCTTGTACAATAAAACGCCTCTCAGCAGCTTAAACCCAGGCCTGGACTGAGGATCATTTTGCAATATGATATCACACATTGTAACTCTGGATCCTTATTAACCTCCGCCCTAATTTGTTGTATCTGAGACCATACCGGAAATGACACTGCTGHCTTCAATTCTACCTCCTCGAACATCCTGGATAAAGAGTCAGCTGCTGAGTTCTCTCGACTGGGTTTATAGACTACCTCGAAGTGATAACCGAGTAGCTTTGCAATCCAATTTTGTTGATCTGCAGAAGCGACTCGTTGTTGCAGTAAATGACGGAGGCTTTTCTGGTCAGTAAAGACTTTAAAGTCTCTTCCCAACAGGTACGGTCGCCAATGTTGAATGGCCAATACTAACACCATTAGCTCCTTCTCATAGGTAGACTTGCTAAGGTTTGTTTCTGACAGGGCCTTACTGAAGTAAGCAATCGGTTGCCTATTCTGCATCAAAACAGCCCCGATTCCCCGACCGGATGCATCGCACTCTACCTCGAAGGGTTGAGAAAAATCTGGCAACACGGGGGATTAATCATCACTTGCTTCAATTGCTCAAAGGCCCTTGAAGCTTCAGATCCCCAAACAAACCCATCCTTCTTATTGAGCTCAGTCAATGGTTTCGCAATCTTTTCGTAACCAGCAATGAATTTCCTGTAATATCCGGTCAACCCCAAAAATCCACATACTCCTTTAACATTTTTAGGGACCGGCCATTCCATAATACTTTTGATCTTATTCGGGTCTACAGATACTCCCAAATCAGAAATAACGTGCCCCAAATACTCTACCTGTTGCGTTGCAAACACACACTTCTCTCTATTTGCCACAAACTGATGGTGTTGGAGAATTTCTAAAACCGTGCGTAAATGACCAAGGTGTTCCGTCCAGCCCTTACTATAGACTAAGATATCGTCAAAAAAAAAACCAAGACAAAGTGTCTAAGATAAGGTCGAAAAACCTGATTCATCGTAGACTGAAAAGTAGCAGGGGCATTCATCAAGCCGAAGGGCATAACCAGAAACTCATAGTGGCCGTCGTGTGTTCGAAACGCGGTTTTACTGATATCCTCCTCCTTTACCCTTATTTGATGGTATCYMGACTTCAAATCTARTTTAGARAAATACATAGCTCCATTTAACTCATCCAATAACTCCTCAACCACAGGAATAGGATACTTATCAGGGACAGTTGCCTTGTTAAGTTCCCTGTAGTCAACACACATTCTCCAGGTACCATCTTTTTTTTTTAACAAGGATCACCAGACTTGAAAAAGCACTCGAACTCTGCCGAATGATCCCTTGTTGTAGCATTTTTCGCACTTGTCTTTCGATTTCATCCTTGTGGTGGTGTGGATAACGATATGGGCGTACACTAATCGGACCTCCTGTCCCTCGCAACTCGATGCTATGCACCGTTTCCCGCCGTGGAGGTAAACCCGACACCTCTCGAAATACTTCATCGTACTGTTCCAGCATCATATCGAGTTCTTCTTGTTGCTGCTTATTTAATTTATGTACACCCGTAGACGTATCGGTGCCTTCTCTAGTCATTATAACACTTGAAAAGATGCTGTCGCAGCCCGTTTCCCACTCCATAGGTTTCCCGAATCATTTGCCTTGCCACCGGTCAAAGTTACCTCCTCTCCCCCCCGCAAGGAAACTGATAACCCTTTCCTTCCAATCGAAAGTAACCTTCCCGAGTCTTTCAAGCCACGATACCCCCAAAATCAAGTCGAGATCACCCAAATCTAATACGTAGGTATCCACCACCGTTCTGAATTTCCAAATAACAAGTCCACCTCCTTACATTCCCCCTGCGTTAATACACGGTGACCATCCCCTAACCGAACCCCTAAATTTTTATTAGGGTCTACTGTTAATTCCAGTGCGGCTGCTACCTGAGGAGACAAAATTATGACTGGCTCCACTATCAATTAAAACTTCTAGTGGAATTCCTTTTATCGTTCCCTTAACGGGAATTGTTTTAGGAGATTTCGCATTTCGACTTTCTGCCCAAGCAAACAATCCAATTGACTTGCATTCTAACATTTCTTCACCTTCTCCTTCTTTCAGTTCTACTGCAATTACCTCTCCTGCCTCGTTCACATGTTCATCATCGCCCAAAATCACCATCCGTAGTTGTCGTTCCGAACACTGATGAAGTGGGTGAAAACGCTCTTCACAACGAAAACACAAGCCCTTTGCCTTTCGGTCCATGAGCTCGGCGTAGGGTAAGTGTTTGAGTCCTCGGTTTCTCTCGTTCTCCCTTCGATCACCTGGTACAGCCCGTAACGGTTGAACTAATTGTGGCGTTAGCTGAGGCTTCGTGAAATTAGTTTTATTCAAGCCCAAACTACCCCCAGCAGGCCCTGGCCTATTACTTCGTCGGCCCATTGCTGAATCATTGGTCGATCCATAACCAGTTTTTACGAACGACCCAACTCCACCAATTCGTCCTCCGTTCCAAAGCCGTGTGGATACACTCCTGGGAATTACAGCGCCTTGTAGTTCCGATTCTACATCTCGTGCGATCTTCATTGCTTGAACACGGTTTATGGGGTTGAAAGTGCGAACGAAGCCCTCCAACGAAATAACCTAGGTTATAAAATTGCCACCATGCAACTTTAGACCATTAGATCATTAGCTTATAAAGTTGATTAATGAACATAAATGGGTCTTACTAGTCTCACGAAAAATCCTTGGTCTCACGTGAACCCAACCCTATATATATATATATATATATATAATGATCTAATGGTGTAAAGTTGCACGGTGACAATTTTGTGATTATTGAGAAGTCTCGTGGCAATTTTGTTATTATGAATGTTCAGATTGTAGACCTAATCCAAAGGTTGAGAATTGGTCTTATGGGTCTCACGAAAAACCCTTGGTCTCACATGATCCCAAATGTATGTATGTATGTGTGTGTGTAAATATATACTTGGGATCACGTGAGACTAGCCTGTTTTCGTGAGACCCGTGAGACTACTTTTTTACACTTAAAACTTCACAACAAAACGCTGTAAAGGTAACCTTCACAGTGTTTTCTCTGTGAAGGTTCAACTTTTTTTTTACCTTCACGATGTTTTGTTGTGAAGTTTCAAGTATAAAAAGTGGTCTCACGGGTCTTACGAAAACAAAATGGTCTTACGTGAACCCGACCCTATATATATATATATATATATATATATATATATAGGGGCCTAATCAAATGAGAACTGAATAGTTTGTGGTAACTGTGAGGTCCAATCTCAACCACAAATCAACGGATAAATTAGGAAATTAATAATTATGGTAGTTTGAGTTAAAATTATAATTAGAGGGCATATTATGTATTTTTAAAAAAACTTCTCTTTCCTCTCTCCTCTCTCATCTCTTCGACCTCCAATCTCCGGCCTCCGGTGAAATCGRYAKCACARTATATCACAATGGGTATCACATTGTGTATTACAAWGGRTATCAYATTGTGTATCTTTGTTTTTAAGGTTTGAGTTGGTATCACAATGGTATCACAGTATATCACAATGGGTATCACATTGTGTATCTTTGTGATTACTTGGTACCTGCCGGATTAATGTTCATCGGAGGCCGGAGATTGGAGGTCGGAGAGATGAGAAAGGAGAGAGGAGAGAAGAGTTTTTTACAATTACCTAAAATGCCCTCTAATTATAGTTTTAACTCAAATCACCATAATTATTAATTTCCTAATTTATCCATTTTTGTGGTTGAGATTTGATCTCACAGTTACCACAAACTAATCAGTTCTCCCTTGAATGGACCCCTATATATATATAATTGGTTTCCTTATATATGTCAAAATAATTGATTGTATTTTATAAGTACGTAGTTACAAAACCAATCAAATTTTACAAAATAAAAGAAAAATTACATTCAAAACTTTATTAGTTTATATTTAGATAAAAATCACTTGTCCTAAATTCTTACATTCATTCATATCTATCAATCATATGAATACACATTATCAGAGAGATAATGTGATGTTGAATAAAATATTTTTTATAACATATAAAAATCTGATTTGTCTTCCTTAATTTTATTGATTGGATGTATACTCGAACTCAGTGATGAATTCGTCTACCGATCCCGTTTGCATGAGGTCTTTCAATTCCTCAAAGGGATTATCACTTTGTCTTCCCCCGTATCGTTCAATCAAAGCCTGTTTGAATCCCTTCCATGTGAGGTTCTCTTCAGTTGCACTCAACAGGTTAAGCCAGTGAATTGTTGCCCCATCCATACTCAGTTTTGCCAACTTCACCTTAATATTTTCAGGAGTATTTTGCACATCAAAATAGATCTCTGCTCTAGTAATCCACCCCACTGGATCTTTCCCATCGAACATAGGCAATTCCACCTTCTTCACAGCCATACGGAATTCYGTCAATCGATMATCCACMTTGTTAACAACYGGCGGTGTCGCTTGTGGCGGTCGTTCCAGCAGCTTGACTAAATCTGCTAACATCGTCTCCCTGAATTCAGCCAACGAGCGCTGAATGTTTTCTTCCATCATCCCTACTGCTTCCTCCAACGCGTCCACTCGATCACCCACATTGGTTGGCTTTGGTGGCATTTTCAGATACGCTGGTTCTCCTCGATAATCCGGCAGGTCGGACCAATTGATAGAAACAGAAAAATTGAGAGGACAAGCTGAATGATTAATAGAGGAAAATGAGCCGAAGCTCTACAAGAACAAGGAAAATTAACCAGAGTCTGGGACTCTTCTCCAGAGACTTCTCTCCTAACAGAATAGACAACAAAATAACAGAATGATCCTTATTTCCTTTCCTCCACCACTTTTATCTTTCTCTCTAACGACCCTCCTCCTTCTCTCTCCTCGTGTACACTTTCCATGTTATGGGCTTTTTACCCAACTGAGAGACTATGGGCTCATGGGCTTCAGCATCTGGATTCCCAACACTTTCTCTGTCTAGTCCTTGCATTCTAACGGTGATGTCCTCTACTCTAGCTATTCCAGCTTGTACTAAGTGCAACATTTGATATGTCGCATTAATTCAAGTTATGACTAGGGGACAGAAACCTTGCATTAAATTGATATTTTTGATTGTCATGGAATATAGGGGAAAGTGTTCTACAATAAGGCCAACTAGCTTTTACCCAAATGATGTGTGGAGAAAACATTTATCATTTGCATATAAAAATTAAAAAATAACCATTTTTTCTACCAATAATTTACTTTCTACATTTGTTATTGAGATGGAGAGGTTGATATATAGACCAATATGCATTTTTGTATATTTGAGTCTTTACAAGTCCATCGAGCTTCAATGATGACATATTTTGGTGACAAACTAATGATAAGCATCAGTTGAATTTATTCTTTAGAATATTAGCATATAAAATAATGCTTGCTTTTTATGCTAAAAGTGAATTACACATTTCTTGTACCAATATGTGCTTTATATGTCTCCAACTCATTAATTGCAGCAACCAAATCAATTATTTATTTTGTTCCACATGAGTATGATTTTAAATGAGCCAACAAATCAGGTCAAAATTAAAAATATTGTGACTCCATAACTCCACAATCATGATCGCTAAATACATGCGTCTTTCTCTTCAACACTGTTATGAACACTCATAAAAATAAGTCATAAAGTTAGTTTATTCTACTTGGACCTTCTACCAATGTTTATTTGTATAGTCTTAAGGAAAACTGAAAATAGCTTCTTGCTTTGCATGCGTTATCCTGGGTCTTTTTTTATTGACATTCACATTCAAATAGATAAGATGAAAAATAAGAGGTGAAAGAGGAGTTAGTGGTAATGGTGCAAGGAGGTGCAGAAGGGAATGACAGGGGTGCTATTGAGTATGTATTTGGTTGTCAATTTCAATTTCAAATTTGTTTATAGTTGTTTACCGATCATTTTTGTCTGTATTGAGTATCATCACACACATTTTTTGCACTTGCTGTAATGTATCTTGTCATTTTGGAGCAAACATCATGGTTAAATTGGGATGCTTGTACAGAAGTGCAAAATTGAAAATAAAGTAGTTGCACATGTCCAGTAATATACAGTTCAGGGATTACTTTTAAGAGTTCCTCTTTGTTTTCATTTGGTTCAGACTCAAATGGTCACGTGTATGGGGCTTTAATTGTAATAGTGAGTTTATGCGATCAAGATTGATCTGAGAAGATCCATGGTGATGAATATGCCACTTGTCTAATTCTAATTAGTTTATTCAATTTAACAAGGATTTAGAAAGGAAAAAAATTCCGTGTGTGTTATCTTCTGATTGTGTGTATGTATCATATTATGGTTTGTTGGATGTGGTCTGGACAGGAAAACAGGGTTTATAGTTTCTACATCCATACCCTATGTTCTCTTGATGTATGAAGAAAGTACATCATTATCTATATGTTGTGTCATTTGGATGTGAGTTATTTCTCTACTCTTATCTTGATTCGTTTTACGCAAATATTTGTTAGGGGGTAATGATGATTCCTACCAAGCTGGAGCATCAGAGCGCAGAAGATCAAGCAATCCGGCTCGTCCTGACATGCATAATAAATCAAGATTACCATATGAACTTAATGATCGTATTTCACCTGGGAAACATGTGAGTCCTTGTTAGATAAAGTTAACTTTTTGGGGTTAAAGAGTACTGTTACCTATAATGATCCCCAAGCATTTGGCATTATGGAACTTTGTTATTATGTTATCATTGTTATTTTTGAATGCTGTTATCAGTTGTCTTCACTGTGAACAAGCATTGGTCCAACCACCACTCTTTCTGACTTTTAATTGTTACAGACGGTAAGTACTGCACCAAAGGCGCCTACTTCATCATCTATGGCCGGTAACTTTAAAGCACCTCTTTTCAAACCTGATGAGCCGATTGATACGACAAAAGTTGATCATGGTATTGGTGGAAAAGCTGCTGGTGCTTCAAGCAGTTGGATGCGATCCTTACACCGTATTTCGTCAGCCAAGTGATTGGTATGGAGATTTTCATAATTCGGAAATTGGTAGCAGCTCTTTAGCATATATGAAAGCTGCCAAGCAATCAGTCACTAAGCAGTTTGTTTTGGTTTATAATTAGAGATTATGAGAAGAGGATTTACAGACAGCCTCAATCAATAGACACTTGTGAAGTAATTGCTTGGATGCTTCTGCTCAAGATTTCAACATGTAATTTCTTAAGGTGATCACAAAGCACAAACATGTTGAATGGTGCTTAAAATTTTCCAATCTGAGGTTTGATTGTTATGATAAGTAGGTCCTTAAATGACTAGGCGTTTTGCAAGTTTTATTCAACTCTGGATAATGTTGTATAGTGTTTTACAATTCTTTCTCCATAAAATAGATAATTGGCTGCCCCTTTGTATTTTCTGGTTGTTTCAACTAGGAATTTCTTACATTCAGGACCAAGTTTCTTTTATGTTGTTCTGGTTCTTTTTTTTTTTGATTCAGAGTTTTTTGATGTTTATTATCTCAGTTTTAACATAGGTACCAGAGTTCTTCCGAATGTGTACGCCATGATCTGTATCAGGTACTTCAGATGCATACCCTTCTTTTAAGCATAGAAGCTTTGGTAAAGCATCTTTCTGTAATAAAATTCATTCCTTCTGATTTCACGCTTCTCTTACTATCCAGGTTCTTGTATGAAGTTTTGGTGTAAGTTCGTGGATTTTATAGGACACTGATGCTTGTCACCATTACTGGTTTGAAGCTTTTCTCTTGGGAGGTTCCAAGGTAATTATGCTAATGTAGTCATATGATGGAAAATATACGTCAAGGCTTTCCTTCATTTCATCATGTGGCTTTTCAGTTTCTCATCCATTGGAGCCATTTCTAATAAAAGGGTCATGAGGGTCAAGTTCCATATACATTGCATCAGGTCCAAGAAAAAGAATCCACTTTAAGATTTGAAGGAATTGGAAGACATTTTTTGTGATAATGGTACCATGCTAATACTGTGCAAACTTTCATGGCCAATGTGAATTTTGGTGATTTTGACCATGAAATTTTGCCCATATTCTAAGGCCAAGATGTGTCATGAAATTTGGAAATCTCTAATAGCTGTACTAATATCGTTCAAGCATATCCAACCTGTATATGATCTTTTTGTTGCTTCCATCTGTTTACGAGCGTCGAACCCAGATAGATAAAGCTCTTCCTCAATCAAATGCCTATTCACCAACAAAGAAATACATTTCTATATCTTCGACGGATATGTTCATCTTACTCAGAGTCACATGTACCACCAGTAGTCTGGAAGATATTTAATTTTGTTTTGAAGGGTGATCGTTGATCGATAAGTAAGGTTGCTCTATTCTGGTAAAAGGTGGAGGTTACAATCCTTGGCAAAAGGAAAATACTCGTACAAAAAATTTCTTCTCCAACCCTCGGTTTCCAGGAAGAGATGGGAATTGTTAGTTGGAAGTAATAATGTGTCTTCTTTTTTATTTGGTATCCATGGGTGTTCGGTCAGTTTGCACTCACCTTGACTAATCCCATGGGGTCGTGGTGGCCCTGAGGGGACTTGAACTAGTGACCTCTGAGGAGCAAACCCAAATGTCTTGTTGCATGTTTATTTGATCTGCTGCAATTACAATTCTAATAGTCTATACTGTCTACCCAAGTGGCAGAGATGGAGAAGTTGGGATATGATGGAAGATGGTGCCTGAAAACTCCAACAAAACTGACCGCCAAAAGTTCCAGATTATCAGAATTTGCACAGAATAATCTCTGTTATATGTCATCTTTAAGAGCATGATTCTGGAGCCGAATGCATCATATATTCTGCAATGAATCAGCACAACGTAGCCAATAGTTCCTTTGTTATGAAATGATCTGATATCGCAGATCAATCCTGCGTCAATCATGGGCATAGCCCACGAAGTGTGTCATATGCTTGTGGCCCAATTCTCGGTAAGTTAGAATGTGTAGAGTTGCTATTTATCTTACAATTACAATTTGTTAAAACTATTTAGGTTATATGATCAGGGTGCTTTTAGTACGTGGGATATGACAAACCAAAGTTTGTCGTCCCATGTTTGGTCCAACATTAGACTCGGACAATGTATTTTATTTGTATCGCAAAAATAGGTGGAATAAAGATTAAAGAGAGACAATTATTTCACCACTTGCCTACCTCACTCTTGTCTTGTCTGTCGTTTAGCCCCGTCCTTGTATCAAATGCACATGTGACCTGGTTTGTTTAATCTAGGTGTTATGCACCTATTGATCCTTGTGAAGATGCACAAAAGTAGTCAAGATGGTTGCATGGTGTGATATTTGTTGGCTGAGCCCATGAACCATCATCTCAACTAGGGGTGCTCATGGGTTAGGTTGAGCGGGTTCAAGACATTTGAACAACCTAACCTAATGCTTGCCGTTTGAAAAATCTTAACCCAACCTAACCAAAACCAAAGTGCAACCCAGCCCAATCCAAGCTGTAAGGTTGGTCATGTCAGTTGGGTTGGTCGGGTTAATATTTTGGTATTAAAATATTCTTCTAACTTTGAATATGTTATTTTTTTGCTCATAATTTCTTTTCCATCATCAACCATTTGATACAACTTATTCATACTTCTTATGTATATCAAATTCAGTTAATTTTCTCAATTTACATATATATGTTCATAGTTATTAAACATATATACGAATGAGTTATATAGAAATGTGAATAGATTGAAAATATGTGTATATGAAGAGCATATGTGATAGTGCAATTGTCTTATATATATATATATATATATATATATATATTAATAGAAATTCAATAATCCTATTAAATCCAAGAAATAAAAGGATATCGAGTTCATCGGGTTGAGTTGAGTTCAAATAATAGTAATCCAATACCTATGGTTTGAAAAAATTTATAACTCGATTAGACATTGGGTTGTTTCGGGTTGAGTTATTTCGCACTGGATTGATTGGGTTGGTTAGGTTTTTGAGTACTCCTAATGGTTAGGTTTTTTAGCACTCCTAACTGTAACTCTTTGTTGTGTAGAAACCAATGTCAAGCCACCAAGAACCTTTTGCCCAGTGGTGGTGGTGGCGGTTCCTAGTGACATGTTTGACCTTTAAATGGAACTGGCGAGCGTAAAAGGGCCCTCGTCTTTAATCGAAGATCGGTGGAGTTTGTTTTACATTCCCTGAAATTGGTGAAAAGCTAAAAGTAACTTCTATTTTGGGATTTAAACAATCTAGTGTTGGATCTGAAGCTTGTCTTTGGATTTTAGTGTCTACTTAACATAAATTGTAAGGTTATGCCTTTTTGGGTCAAAATGGGTTGGGTTGAGTTGATCTATTTAACACTATTTGGTTTTACAAGTTTTATAGACGATTGATGTATTAAATATTAAGAGTGAATTACAAATTTGGTTTTACAAGTTTTATAGACGATTGGTGTATTAAATATAAGAGTGAATTACAACTTTGGTCTATGTGGTTTATGTGTTTTATTACTTGTTCTTATTTTGAAATATATATGGATTACATCCATATGGTTCACATTGGGTCTCCAAATCTGACACCGTCCAATTCTTTTTTGTTAAAGCAGATAGTTTAGTGGGGGTATTTTAGTCATTTAATTTATTTTTTCATTTTCTATTCAAAATCTTAGGGACAAAGAATGTAATTTAGAGGGTGGGGGGACTAAGAATGTAATTTAGGGGCTGTTTACCAATTCTTACCGGGTAAGTGTTGTCCTGAAAAAGTGTTTTCTCGTAAAGGTGTTTATCAAGTGTCTTTTGGTAAGTGCTTACTGTAACACCCTCAAATCTAGAAAGAGCGATTAAATTAAAATTTTCTATAATACATCAAACAAGGAATAAATCTCTTTCTATAAATCAATATTTGAATTACCTCGAAGAAAAAAACTAGATTTAATTATCAACAATAGATAAACTAAGCCTTATATAAAGATTAGGTCAGGGTCGAGTGTTACTAAAACTCAATAACAGTTGCAATCTCCACATGTGGAAAAGTCATTGATTAGCTAGATGCTTCTCGTGCCTCTAATTAGCCTTTAATTCAACACAATATATTCCCCAAGAACCTGATGCACATGCCGACAAATAAAATGTTAGACTTAATGTCTAGTAAGTTTAAATAGTTTTCATCTTAAATATAAAAATGGTAAAACTAAAAAGACGTTATTTAAATCATAATTTCCAAAATGAAACATATTTAGTATAAGAGTCATCCTTTCCAAAACCTACCATTATCCTAATGGAAACTCAATTATCGAAATGTTCTTTTATTTATGGAATCAAAGCCTAATACTCACCCAAAAGTGAATGAGATTAAATGCCCAAAACATAAACAAGGTTCAATACTCAAACCATAAATAATAAAAAGATACTCCTTACCATACACGTTACTAAAAAAAAGGGTAAAACTCAATACTCAAAACACATCTCTGTGATAGGGGAGACCCGGTTTTCATTGTTAGTAGTAGAACACAAAAGGAAGCCACCATTCCACATCATAGAGCTCATCATGAGGATCAATGGCCCCAATGGGATCAATTGTTCATAGTTCATAGTTCAAGGCCCCCAAAAGTGCACTATTTCATAGAAACTACATTATGTGGCTAATGACTAGTATCCGGCTCCCATAAGACCGTACCAAGTTGCCCCTTATGTCCCAATGCCTATTTCTAGCTACAATAAGAGAATAACCATTACATTAAATTGACTCAGAAATTACACCATGGGATCAATGACAGATGTTCGACTTCAAAAACCCGCATTATAAGGCCTCCAATGACCCAATGACTATTCCTTGTCACAATGTGGGAATGACCATCCCATTTTAAATCAATAAAGACAGACTCCTATGCCTATGTATCCATTATATTACAATCTAAATTGTATGACCCCAAATGAATGACCACACACTTAAAACATGTAATATTTCAAATAAACATGCTATAATTGCATATAACTCAAAGACATAGATCAAATAAAGTAGACATATGTCCTCAAGACTCATCTGAGTCAAACCGAGCCAAAGGCTCTCAATTGACTATTAAATAAAAGTTATCAATATAAATCTATTTGACCAATGTTCATGCAAACACATGCTCTAAAGGCATAATTAACTCAAAACCGCCCATCACTGGTTGGGATAAACCATTTTTCAACTGAAATCACACCATTGATATTTTTAAAATGTCCCATAACATATCAATATGCATTTTCAAACCAAATACACTACAAATACATTATCACCAAATAATCTCCATTTATAGGATAAATCATCAAAAAAAAAAAAAAACCAACACTTATGATTTATTTATCAAAATGTCAAAAAACCCAAGTATATGCATTCTACAAGATTTATTAACCCAAATTTACTAGATATTCAAACTTCATGTAATGCTCAACACATTTGTAAATATATCAAGTAAAACACATCAATACTTCAATAAACATTTTGGCATGTATATAGTTTTCACAAAGTAACTTCAACTCACCTTGTTAGGTTAGGTTAAACTTAGGTTCCAAATCCATTTCTAGTTTTCAAAATGGTTAAGGTTTTAGATCCTTCAACACCCACCTCTTGAAACTTTATCTGGGTCACAACCAAAGCCTAGAGATGTACCAAAATTAACCCCAAACTTAGATTCATAGCAAACCTTAGTAAAATCTTCTAATCATCTAAAATATGCAAAATACGGAAGATACCTCAAAATAAATGCTCTAGGAGGTTAAAATGAAAGATTTTAATAAGAATAAAAGTTTAGAAGGTTAATATGGACTTACAATTTGTTTTTAGGAAGAAGCCCCAAAACTAGGTCAACAATGGTGAAAATGGTGATGAAGAAGAAAAACCTCGGATCTTGGATCTAGACTTGAAATTTTGATGTTTAGGAGCTCTTAAATGCTTGGAGAAGATGAATAAAGTCACTACCAAGTCCTTAAATCGAGTTTGAATAAGGAAGCTAAGAGGTGGGAATGAGCTCTAATGAAGATGGTGAAGGGCTTTAATTCATAATCCCTAGCTCTTGATCTCACAAAACTCTTGAAGAAATCGATTGGGTGAAATGGAGATGCTTGGACCAAGTTTGATTGAGAGAGAAATGAGTTAAGAGATGCGAAATGAGGTAACAATGCAAGGAAAACCGGTTTTATTGAGGAAAAACATGGCACATGACCTGCACCCTTCGAACCCCAAATCTGCCCAACTTTCATGACCGGGGAGTTATTTTCACTGCCAAGGAATTTTCTTCATAGTCGGGGAGTTCTGAAATTTCATTGTTTGATTTTTTCTTGCCGATTTTCATACCCAAACTTCAAAATACTTAATAAACCTATTCTAAGGATGAACACACACACAAAACTTGGGATTTCACTTACCAAAAAGCAAAAAGATTACCATTTTAACCCCTTTTGCAATTAGATATTAAATAAAATGTGATTGTTTCTATTATCAATCGTTTTAAAAAAAACAAAAATCTGGATTGTTAGCCAAAAAAACAGTTGAAGATGTTACAAAAGGAGTTGATGGACATGACTTAACTGCTATTGTTACAAGTCCTTTTCTTTCTCCTTCAAATATTTTTCTCGGAATTTTTAGATCATTTTTCTTCAAAATTTCATATGGGGTTTGCGTTTAGAAGGGAAAGTCAAACTCATTAACTGTGAAAATCTTGATTTGTGGTCTGTTTGATGCGTGATTTGATCAATTTATTGCTTAAAAATATAAAATACAAATCCATGTTGAAACATGACATTGCTATACTCAAAGTGATTTTTTTGAAAAACACGAGCTATACAAACAACACACATAGAATGTCTTGCATAAAATCAACAAAAGCACAATTTTTCCAAAAAGCACAAACATAATTGAAGAACATAAAGACAAGACAAAAACGCTATCATGCATAAACTCAACAAAAGCACAAACACAAACATTTCCACATGGAAATGGAAATGGAAAGAAAAGAAGACACAGTCAAGCATAAACTCAACAAAAGCACAAACACAAACATTTCCACATGG